GGGGGGGGGGGGGGGGGGGCATCTGGAAACCTGAAACATTTAAGCCCTAAGCGCTAAATATTCAACTCTCTAAACCCTGACAGCCGATGACCCTAAACATTAAGGGTATGCCGATTTACCCAATCCCACGAACTACACCTCCAAAAGGAGCCGCGTGCCAGATGCCAATACCTTCCTATCTAACGGCCATGGCACATTATCAGCCCCGCCGGCACGGCCATGTAGAAGGTGCCTCAAGGCTTTGGTTGGTAGTTTCCCAGAGAACCCAAGACACCTAAACTAAGGAATATACCTCTATTAAGGGGTCCTTCATATTATGCTTTAAGCTATCTTCCTTCATTAAAGGGTATTGGGTTCTCTGGGTTGTAGGGGGTAGCAATTAGTGTTGCACGGTGTTCAGGCTCGTAGGGTTTAGGGGGTTTAGGTTGACTACTGCCAACCCCAGACAGTAACAGTCTGTAATAAGGTTACTAGTAAGGGGTTCCTATTGTTTATTAAAAGTATTATTCAATTGTTACTGAGTCTGGTTCCCTGTTGGAGCTATATTAAAACTGATCAGTCTTAATCCTTATTGGGTTTTCTTGTAACAAAAAAAATAAAATGGGGGTTTCCGAAAATAGGGGACCCTAATATAGTACCCTAAATAGTAGGATCCTTATTATAAGGACCCCCCAAATAAGGTACCCTAATTTTCGGAAACCCCCAAAAGTGTATCCAACAAGGACCCAGGAGTCGGGGCAGTATCCAAGGTTTAGGTTTGTCAGGGTGCGACTTTCGAGTTGCATACACCCCAAAGCGTCGGGTTTAGGGTTTAGGTCATACAACTTGCGGCGATGGGCTGGGTTTGGGGTTTAGGGTATCTGGCCAGCTAGCTCGGACTGTAGCTAGCTAGCTAGCTGCCTGGCTATCCTTGCAAAAAATAACCTAAAGCCGTTCGACGAATATGTTGCTTTTGTTGTTGTTGTTGTTGTTGCTGCTGCTGCTGTTGTTGCTTGTTGTTGCTGCTGCTGCCGCTGCTGTTGCTGCTGTTTGGTGTCATCGTCGTCGTTGTTGTTGTTGTTGTTGTTGCTGTTGTTGTTGTTGTTGTTGTTGTTGTTGTTGTTGTTGTGCGTCTGTTAAACTATTCTTATTGTTAGTTTTACTATGAATTACTGATACTACTGATACTAATATTATCATGATTATGTTTATTACTGTTGTTGTTGGTAGCGGTGGTGCTTTAGGGTTTAAGGTTTAGGGTATGATCCAGTTTAGTCATCTATGTGTTCGCTTATGATTGCTGCCTGACTCTATCGTTAAACAATGTTGCTTTCAATGCAAGCTGCCTTAGTTATCTTGCTAGCACTGAACTTAACGTGGTCGGTGCTAGTTCTTCCTTCCTGCTTATATCATCATAATATAGAGGCATCAATAATTAGAATAGGGTTTGAGGGTATACTATACCATAATTATTATAAAAAGGAGCCACCAAAAAAAAACAAAAATCCTGTTCTAATTATTAAGGCCCTATGTACGTATGGTGGCGTGGTCTCCTGGGGTTGCAACCCTAAGCCCTAACCCTAAACCATAAAACCCTCAACTAGGGCTTAGGGTTTAGGGGTTTAGGGTTTAGGGTTTAGGGTTCAGTCCCTCAACACTAAACCCTCAATGCAGGGAACCATTCAGTATAGGTGCCAGAGCAAGCAAATGAGCGGTTCAATGGCGTGACGGGGGAGTGTAGGGTTAAGGATTTAGGGTTTATAAGGCTTAGGGTTTATAGGGTTTAGGGTTTGGGGTTGTTTCATATACGGGCCTGAATCATCAGAACAGGGCTGGGGGCATTCTCGTATACCTACATCTGGACTTTCTGGGGCGCGCCGTTGCTTTATGCTGCACGAAAAGTCACTGTCCAAAGGATTGAGCTTGACGCTGCTCCCCAAAATCCCGGCCAGGACCTCAGGCTTCAATCGGGCTTCAAAGTCACACAACATGGTTCCTGCAGGCCCCTGCAGGGCTGCATGATGAAATCCATTTGTTTCTCTGAGGATTTTAGAAGGACTAGGGATGTTAAAGGGTTTCGATTTTCTTATGTGCAGATATACATATATATATATATATAATAGTATCTATCTAATTACACAGCTACATACATACATACATACATACATACATACATACGTACGTACATACATACATACATACATACATACATACATACACACTTACTTAGTTACATACATACAAGGGGATATAGGCTTGTGTAGGGTTTGGGATGTATACGAGCTGAGCACGCTCAGGGCTCACAAGCACGTAACCCTGAACCCGAATGTCTGGTGCTTTGCAGCCTCCGGCTCGAGGATTTAAATCCCAAAGGGCGCAAAGCTTAGGGTGGGTTGTTTTACAAGGAAATTATAGGGCTTAGGGAGTGTAGGGGTATACGGTCCTAGGAGGCTCGTTTACGCCACCAGTTGGGTACTTCGGCCGAAGTGTTGCATGGGTGGCCCATGTGGGTAGTTCTCTAAGTTAGGGTCCCTTGTTTTAAGTCCCCAATCTAGTACGTCACCATACGCGTAGTAAAAGGGATCTTATTTTCCCCTAAACGCTAAACCCTAAACCCTTACAAAAAAGGACCCTAAAAGGGACCCCATTTTCTTAAACTCCCCATGTGGCCCGCCATGTGCTGATGTTCTGCTAGCCAACTTCCCAACTGCAATGGAGGGGTGTTTAGGGTTTAGAGTTTAGGGTTTGGGGTTTAGGGTTTAGGGTTTAGGGTTAAGGGCCCAAATAATCACCAATGCTACTTGGGGGGCTCCTGATCAAAGCATATAACGCATATAATGGGCCCCAGAACCCTATTCTAATTATTACTCTTGGGGCTCCTTACTAAAATCACAGTATAATGGGCCGCAGAACCCTATTCTAATTTTTAAGTCCCCTATATACTTAAGAAGCCTCTAGGGCCAATATACTTAGGCCAAAGCTCCTATAGGGTTTAGGGTTTAGGGTTTAGGGTTTAGGGTTTAGGGTTTAGGGTTTAGGCTTTAATTTAAGGCCTGTAGGTATGTACTGTGTAGGCACATAGAGCCTTAGGGTGCTGTCTAGGGCATGAGGGTTGCAGGTTTCAGGGCTCAGGGTTGTTCAGGAATCCAGGTTCAGGGCTTTAGGGTTTCAGTTTACAGTAGAAGCCCAAAAGCTGGAAACCCAATAGCCTCAATCCTTAACAGTAATGTATAAGGAATCCCAGCACTATTTGTCCTGAATCCGGTTTCCAACTTTTTGGGGGGGGTTGCGAGTTTAGGGTTTCAGTTTAAGACTTATCGGGCTCACGATGTAAGACATGGGGTGCAGGTTCAAATCTGTCAGACCCTGAGACCTGTAGTAAAAATGATCTGTTCTCGCTTCAACCATCCCTTAGGCCGCCACTACTAGAACAAATGTTCCACTAGTTCCTGAATCCGCAATTAGCCAAGAGGCCCCCCTGTAGATTGGTTGAAAAGGCACCTCTGACCTTACAGAAATATCCTTGCAGAGCCCTCGAGGAACGAGACCGCTTCGATAGGGAGGGGTGGGGGGGGTTGTTGTTCGTGGATTTGGGGAACAACAACCCCCCCCACCCCGTGGGCGGAGGCGCG